ATCTTGAGTAGTTTTGCCAGGGTCCTTGATATGCACTTTCCCTGCCTTGAGTCTAGGAGTCAAGATTTTCTTCATAGTTTCTTCAAATTATTCCTATTTTAATTTTCCTACTGTAGTCCCCCCTAAATTATTCTCCTGGGTTTTGACTTTACCCCTATATTTATAGAGTAAGAGTTGTGTTCACCCACCATCAGATGAAATATAGATATTCAGCTCTTGGAATTGTTCCCCTTAAATTAAAAATCTCTTGTTCTCTCACTCGTAAATATTTCTTGGTATATCAGGCGTCTCCAAGTTTCACCCACTCCTTAAGCCTATTGTTGTCTCTTGTCTGCTCTCTATTGTGATCTGTTATTGCATGCATGAAACAACTAGAGATTATTGGATTTTTTTTGAAAGACAGATATAATTTTGTTATTTCCTTGCACACTTTTCTAACCTCTCTAGGAACCTTTCCATCTTTTCTTGTTTCTTGTAGTACCTCTCAGCCAGCTTCGCATATTGTTAACATGCTGGCTGCTGCTCCATCTCCAGATCATTAGCTATATTATTAAAGACTGGAGCTACTATTTAAGAGTACCACTGCCCTCCACAGGACAGAATGGCAGACTGAATATTCCCTCCTCAAGTTTGCCACCCGAGCAACAATAGAAGAAAAAACTTCATTCTTTGTTCTTCTTCTGAAGGCTTGCATCATGCAATTTCTGCCTGAGAGTTGCGTTTCTGTCTCTGCTACACCATATCTCTCGGAACAAACATCCCTTGTTGTCACGAATTGCTTGCCTTCTGGAAGCTCCTTGCTTGCAGAGACATATGGTCATGTCTGGTCAGAAACAACTGAATCTTAAAGCTGGTTTAACTTAATGGACAATTTCTCTTATAAACTCACTGCAATGGTTATCCTATGCTGAAAGAGCTACGTTTTCTTCTCAGCTTTATCTTTACTGTGGAGATTATGCAGTGTCCCAATATGCTGTAAAACCTTCACTTACATAAGATCAGTAGCTCCCACTGAACCAGATTAAAGAGAAGACAGAAGAAAGTCCTCAGTGGTCTCCATTTAGTTTAAAGAATTACGTCCCTAGTTTCCTGTTATAGGGTCCTGACTCACCATTACTCCAAGGCAATTATACTGGAGTGAAAATGAGATGTGACAACTGCTGAATAACTGAATTTGAAAATAGGAAGCATTTTTTGCAAGGTAGCACTTCTTTGGGTGTCTGAATATCTGTTTATCTAAAAGCTACTGATTAACCACCTTGCAAAAGATCAGTTCCCAACATAGAGAACTAGGGCTGGCCACATCACTCTCATCAACATTAACAGACACGCTCGTCTATAAAGTCAGTCCTTCTTTACCTTTACAAGTAATGAAGTATTCTGAGATAAGACCATCAC